GTACATTTGCTGTTATGTTAAACTTATATTAAAGTTTTTCTTCATTACCCGTTCAAGCCGTCTCCAACCATTAAAACCATACATTGTTTACTGTACATCATATCAATCTTGAACGAATATAGTAGAGACTTACTGAAAAAAGTCTGATTTTAAATAAATAAATAAATTTATTGGTGGGTTGAGACACTATTTTTGCAAGTTTTGTGTACCTTGTTATAAAGTATTTCACTAGAAATATTTCATACTATTACATGATACAGTTTCTTTTTACAAGTTTTAATAAAAGTAAAACAAGAGTTAGTAAAATGTGTCAAAACAGTTCACTTATATATATACACACACCAGTGAACTGTTTTGACACATTTTATTAACTCTCAGTACGTGAACAATCAGGAGTACATTTAATCATTTTACTGTAGAACAGGTGATTACTAAGGTTAGAAATGATGATGAAATTAGTCACAACTGCTTTAAAACTTCATAGGTTAAAGCAGAAAAATAGTAAAACTATGTAAAAACAATTACTTAAGTCAAATATTGTTGGAACAAGCTTCCAAGGATGGCCAACATTAGTTGACAAGAAAGATTCACACAGAGGATTTTTATAAGACAAGTACGATAAAGGTAAAAGAAGCAACAAATGTATAATTTAGAGAAAATTTTTCAAAATTAGACATAAAGTTAATTTTAACAACAAAATAAGGCTTACAAACACACGAATCAGAACAAGAAAAAAAGGTACACATATAATACCGAGTCTTCAAAAGCAGGTTCAATGTGGTGAATTTCAATTTCTATATTTCTTTTATATTTGTATTTATAGATAATTTAATTAGGGTTTTAAAATGTTCAGTTATTTGGTTTTTTTTTTTTAAATATAAAAATTGTAATTTAGTGTCACAGAGTGATGTAAATTATTATATACTAAGAATACCTTAACTTCTCTCTTACATACTTATTACATAACATTCCACAGACTAGGCCAACAGTCGTTAGTCAGCACTCAGTTGTGCTAAGAATCATTACTCATCATCAACAAAAATATTCTTGTTTCTATCTTAAGGGAACTTGAGCTGTTTTTATAAATAGATTTCAGTCACTAGATGTCACAAGCATTCAGTCAAAGAGCAGATTAAAATATACTACATCATTTTTAGACTGAACCTAGGCCTACAGGAAAGATCTTGTGTAAAAATGAAAGTTTACGATCCTCTTGAATTTCTTTGGAGGGTCATCAATTTCCATTCTTAGACACTAATCAATAATAACAGTGGGCAATTTAAATATGAAGTGTACCAAAAAAAGTTTTACAGGATTGTATTTTAACTTTATAAGTTTCATTCCTACTATATTTAAAGAGAAGTTAGTTAAAATATTTTTTCAGAGAACTTACGAGATATCTAACACAAAGAATTTATGAATATCCAACAATTCTCATGTAAAATTAATTTTCCAAGTTACTTTATCAATAGAATACTTCGTTGTTATCTAAATGAGCAAAATGTTGTTACATCTTGTGTTATAGATATACCTAACAATCCTTTGATCAGTCTATCCTACATGTGTAAGTACTCTTTGGTCATTAAGAATCGGCTGAAAAATGTCACAGCTACAAGCCACGGTGTATTTTCAAACCTAACTGCTGCCTTAGTTCTTTCTTTAAATTCAATCTTCTTATGTTGTTTCTACATTTATGCTGTCAGCAGGGTTACACTGGCCACTAAAAGAAAATTATTAACACATATGATAACCTAAGGTTACCAGTTAAGTTCAATATACTTGTACATGCCCTAGGTGAGTGTCACATTCTCGTCCATTATAATTTGCTTAAGATCCTGGCCAAAACCAATGATGAACAGAGCCTTCAAATAAAGAAGAGTATCTACATAACATGAGGCCCGAAATTAAAAATTGTTAATTTAAAAAGGGGAATAGAAATCATCAAAAAAGTACAGAAACAAGTTAAATAAAAAAAAAAAAAGTAAACAAACAAGGTTCAAAATAGTGTCTACATTATTTTAGTAGAGTCAAAATAGGGACTTGAGAAAACAACGTAGACATTATTTCCAGCCTAGTTTGTTAACTTTTTTTTTTTTTATTTAACTTGTTTCTGTACTTTTTTGTTGATTTCTATTCCC